TGAAGAGTCGACCAATGTACTTCGGAGTAGAGTGTTTCCGCCCAGCGATTCTGTCTCCGGTGGAACATGTATGAGTTTTCAAATACTTGGTTACCCAAAACGTCTTAGTCCCATGTTTCACACTTGCTCTGATCTTCCATTGACAACCACTAACCCGACATGTTGCCACAAAGAGAGTTTTTGTTGACTTGTAAACTCTAAAGGGAAACCTGCGCCTCACCGCTGTCAACCGCAACTCTGAAAGCAGTGCATCCTTGCTAGTAAAACTCTGGTTTACATAGATTCTTTCTGCAGATGATCCTTTTCCCTCACAGCCATATGCCTCTCCGTAATCTTCAAAACAAATTTCATCATCTTCTTCCTCATCCTCGTCTTTAACATTTCCAAATTGACTGTAATCCTCAGGATCATAAAAATCTTCAGCGACAACAGGGATGTCAGCATCCTCCTCCCCATCATGATCCTCAGCTACATCCCCCACATCAGCTTCATCCCCCTCATGTTCTTCATCCCCCACATCAGCTGCATCCTCAGCTTCATCCCTTTCCTCTGAAACCGTTCTCATCTTGCAAAAGCTTGATACACAAAGACGTACTTCTTGCATTTTGGTTATCTCTAGCAAGTTTCGAACTTTTCTATCACTTGTAACATGAATAGGAGGAAGGTCTGGAGCTGGTAATGAGTAGCTAATCTCCACAGTGACTGTTCTCATGTCCAGGTTATAATCTCCTTGAGCCATTGCCATAAGTTCAGCATGTGTTGAATCTTCATTCAATAAAAACAATCTTGCTCCTTTGAAACGATCAACCACAAAATTTCAACAACCATCTTCCAACAACCATTCTCCATACACTGCACGTAACTGATGCATCATCTGAGATAGTAAAAATAAAACACATTAGCAAACATAGAAGAAAGAAAACGAAAGTTTATTAGAGATCGAAGCAGACGACTATAATGTAAGTCGTCCAGAAGACTAAACATTTAGTCGTCTGGTCAACGCAGAGGTTATTTTTGCAATTGCCTTTGAAATCTGTTAGTTGGGACGACTGAAATATCAGTCGTCTAGGTATGTTTGATAAAAAAAAACCAGACGACTGAAATTTCAGTCGTCGAAGGTTAGTTTTGCATTTGACTAGAATATTTTAGAAGTTTGACTTTTTAGGACGACTTACATTTCAGTCTTCTGCGAAAAAATGAAATATCAATATTTTATTGAAATTGGACGACTTACATTTCAGTCGTCGTAGGTTAGTTTTGCAATTGCGAAAACAAACTTCAATATTTAAAAAAAATCTAGACGACTGAAATTTCAGTCGTCCCTGGGACGACTTACAATTCAGTCGTCTAGGATTTACGAGGTTTGACCAGAATCTCGAAATAAAATCCTGGACGACTGAATTGTAAGTCGTCTGGCGGACGACTGAATTGTAAGTCGTCTTGAGAGTTGAAGTTTTTTTCACAATTGCAAAACTAACCTATTACTACTGAAATGTAAGTCGTGCGTTCCAATAAAATATTGATATTTCAGTTTTTTCCTACACGACTGAAATTTCAGTCGTCCTATAAAGTCAAAATTCTGAAATTTTCTAGTCAAATGCAAAACTAACCTACGACGACTGAAATTTCAGTCGTCTAGATTCTTAAGATATTTTTTTGTAGCCAAAATAAAGTAGACAACTGAAATTTCAGTCGTCTCTGGAAACAAATTGCAAAGTCAATTGCAAAAATAACTTCTGCGTTGACTGGACGAAAGCAGACGACTGAAATTTCAGTCGTCTGGACAAACAGATCGCAAAAAACACTCGATTTCATACCTTCAATTGGTGAGAGCACTTACTTAGCACACATACGGCTTCTCCAAGCACTCGGAATCTTAAACGAAGGTAACCCACCCTGAATCGTTAGTTTCTTTCACTATATGAACCCTAAAAATGTAGAATCAAAATCTTGGGATTTTTAGCTCATTGTGCAGAGAAAATGAGAGATATGTGTTGTTTAGTTCATGATAATAGAGAAAGAAGAAGGGTAAATGGAATTTGGAAGCATTAAGAGCTTCAAATTGGTTGTTCATGGTGGTTGGAGTATTGATGACAATGGCAATCTTCTGATTACTTGAAGATGATGAGGGTGAGATAGTAAAAATGTCATTTTCGTTAAAAAAAAAAAATGGTGGCATTTTCGTGAATTATAATAACTTGTGGGATGAATAGGACAAAATTAAGTTCCAAAAAAAGAGAGGTTAGTTTTGTGGTTGACTTCAAGTTTCAGGTCAAATCTGCAAAAAGCCCTATTTATAACCTACATATGATGATTATTATACCACCAATGTTTTAATTATCTCAACAAGACAAGTGTATTACTACTAGCTCGTGAATTCTCAGCACAACTAACTTGTACTAAGAAAACTGTTATTGAGGAAGATTTGAAGCCACTTACCTCATCTTATAGTAGTTTACTTGAAAAGGACAAACACTCGTGTTATACTTTTGTCTTTCTTGGTTCTGTTACGTTTATTAGAAGTTGACCCTGTCTTGTTTGTTAGCATTTGCAAGTGCGCACTTATTCGAACCACATAACTAGGCTTTATAACCAGACCCACTCTTTTAGACCAACACATAAAAGAAGATTGCTTTTGCTTTAGCTTTAGCTTTCTAACTAATCATGCCAACCTTATACTTCCATGTTTCCACTCGTCTCTCTAACCTTTTTGTGTGATTTGAAGGTGATGTTTGCTCCTTTATTAGTACATATATAATTTTTACGGAGAGTAAGGTAAGTATAATACATTGCTTCGAATCCAAATCAAGAGAAGTAAATGAAAATGCAAAACGCAAAACTTAAGTAACAAGAAAGCTTATTAGAGCCAAGACAATTAATCAGCTAATTTTTAAACACAATTCCGAGTTTTCTTAAGCCTCCACTCCATAACCGTTATTCTCACTTTGAAGGCGACGAGGAAGATGGGTTCAAAGGACTTGGCTTTGGACTATTTTGCCCTTTGCCAGCGAGACTAGGACTCATGCCACCCCTTAGTTCATTAACTCGAGGACTAAACACTTGAGAGAGGTTCCTATGGAAAACCGGCGTTGAAGTCGAGCTAGTAACTTTAGGACTGCACGTGTGTCTAAACTCTCCTCTACTTCTTGTAATAACCTCATCAAGAATCTCAGAGTCGCATGGATACGAAGCTGTTGATCCCATTTCATCTTCCTGACAAAATCAGAAAAAAAAATGTTAACAAGAATCCCAAAAGATCACAGAGAAAATGGATTTAGTCATTGTTTACCCCTGCTGCGAGATTGAATGGTAAAGCAGGTGCTTCTTCATACTCTGCTGCGTCCAAGTCCTGAAGATGAGCACCTTTGAAGAATCTAGGGAGGATATATTGCCTTACTGGTATTAGAAACATGATCATTAAAGGGAACATAACTCCAGCTATTGGTATCCATGTGAGGCCAAAGCAGATTAGAAGGTAAGTTGTTTGGAAGATGGTGAACATTGCAATTGTTTTGAATGGAACAGTTTCCACAAAAGTCGCATGGTTGTCTTCAAGAACCCTGCAAATTTCTTAACTTACTGAGTTGTGATTCTTGAAAAGAGAAAAAGAATATGGTAAGAGACATTACTTGAATCTGCGACTTGGAGCTGTGAAGAGAAGTAGTATTCTTTCCCAAAACTGGTTTCCTGGTAAGCTTTCAATTGCCATGAAGGCAAAGTATCCCCAAAGAACTGACGTAGGGATCATTTTGAGGATAGGCATAGCTGCAACACAACCTCCAACCATTACTGCTTGAAGCAAGTTGCTTACTCTCTGTTCTTTGACTTCAATAGGCAACAAATCATCGATTTCTTTCTCGATATCAAAGAGAGTTTCATCAACTGGTGCATCAAGATTCCCTGTGAATGTTGTCGCTTGGATTGTTGATTCTCTCAGCTCTTTAAGACCCTGTGGAAGAGATAGTAATGTATCCTCAACTTGGCTTCTCAAACTATATTAGTTCCATTGTAAAAATGGAGAAAAGATTCTTTACCTGAGGCTGCTGGTAGACTAATGGAGTCTGCATCTGATTATAAACCTCTTGCATGTTACCATACAACTGTCCTAAACTCGCATTCTGCTTAATGCTTCTCCTTGCAGTTGCAACTAGTCTGTTCCTAAGAAGCTGTGTAAAGAGAAAACAACAAGCTCAATTCCAAGGCCTGAAAGAAGCAAATAAAGTTCAAAAACTGGTGTGGACAAGGTACCTGATACTTTAGTGTTGCTAAGCTCTTGGTATGCATTGGAGATTGAGGAATGACTCCATTTGATGGAGGGATTCCAAGTAGACCACATATCAAGGTCTGAAAGTGGAAGATGTGTTAGTATATTGAGCTTAAGAAGAGGACAAAGAAGTTACTAGTTTCTCTAGATTTTTACCAGAAACCCAAGTAGAAGCAAATCATAGTGGTAAGAAGATGGTTTTCTCAAATTGAATTCTTTCTGCTGAGCAAGCTGTGATGCTACACTATGGTCAAAGTAGTATAGAACTGCAATCATTGTTGCAGGAATGAATGCTCCAATTATGTAGACAATAGGAACTTCAAGCATCTCCTGAAATTTCATTACCACTAGGCTTTAGTCATATGTTGATGTAAGGTGTGTGAGAGATTCAGATCATAAAGACACACCTTTACAACGGTCCAGTTCTCATAAGCACCAGGGGACCAAGGATTAGGGCTAAAAAGTCGCCGAGGGATTCCTTTAGGAACATCTCCTGTTGGGATGTAGGAGACACCCGTCCACACAAGAACCATGAGTGGCACACCATAGTCAGCTATTAAGCTTCTAAGCCAGCCTGTTTCAAGAATAATGTTTTTTTTTTAAATAAAACTAAGTGTCTTTAAGAACAAGGAAGATATGTTTGATTATTGATAGGTCAAGATCCCTAGAATAAGGAGATTCCAGCTCATGATATTAATAAATGAGAGTTGACTAACTAGAGCTCCATACCTGTTCCATATCTCCAGGATCTAGCTTTTCTACTTCTTAGTGCAG